CTCTCACTTATTATGAAGATAATGGAGAAAATTCAAAACACATCTGATATGTTAATATTCATTCAACAATCATTTTTTGACTATCCACTAGGTGCCTGGCACTAGGGTGCTAAAAATGTAAGATTAGCAAGAAAGGTTAAGTCCCTGACCTCACAACATTTACAGTTTAGGAGACCAAGGCAAATTAAAAAAAAAAAAAACCAAAGACAAAGAAACAGTGTATAGAACATAACTGGCATTTTCCACCAAAACCTTACTTACAAGGTTTCATCTGAAAGAATACAACTTAGTAACTCAAAAGAAATTTTAAAGTTTATGCATTTGTAGCGATATATCCAAGAAGAAAGATATGTCCACATAAACCTTGTATACAAATGTTATCACTCATAATAGCCAAAAAGGGAAAACAACCCAAACATCCATGCTGGATGAATGGGTAAATATGATCTATACATACATTTTAGTCAGCAACCATAAAAAAGAATTAAGTACTGACATGTGCTACAACATGGATGAAGCTTGAAAACATCACACAAAATGAAAGTAGCCAGACACAAAAGGCCACGTATTATATGATTCCACTTATATTAAATGTCTGGAGTAAGCAAATCCACAGACACAGAGAGTGGTTACTAGAGTCTGGGGGAAAGGGATGTGTACAGGTGGATGGCTAAGGGGTTCAGGGTTTCTTTTTGAGAAAAATGTTCCAAAATTGACAGTGGTGATGGTTATATAAGTTTGTGAATATACTAAAAAAAAAGGAATTGTACATTTCAAAAGGGTGAGTTTTATGATATGCAAATTATATCCCAATAAAAAAAGCAGAAATTTTCATGGTTCAAAGTTTACAGTATCACTTAAAGGCAGCAACACTGAAAATACAAACTTATTTAACAATAAGACATCCTAAAACAAAGCAAAAAAACCACATAATGTTTTTATAAAACTATTAATTTGTCTGTAAAGTCAGTTAATAAGAAGACTTAAAAATTTAACATTAAGGCACTAAAACAAAAAACAGAGTATTTACCACTTCTATTTCCAGTAAGTTCTTCTTATTTTCAAGTGTTCTCACATGACTAGTAGCTTCATTCAAAGCATTATCTAATTGGCCACATCTAAAAACCATAAAATGAAATGAAACAATTAGAAGATAAAACCCTTTCCCTTAAAAGTATCATATAAATCTGATTCTCTGATACATAACATAAAACAAATTCTCCAACATTAGCTAAGACTCAGGATGCCATTTTAGTTATACATCCCAATGAACCTGATGATACAGTATCTAGAGAAAATAAAGTAACATGAAAAGATCTCTATAATAGTAAGTGAAAAAATGCCTGTACATACATGTTCACATCAGCATTACTCACAATAGCCAAAAGGTGGAAGCAAGCCAAGTGTCCACCAAGAGATAAATGGATAAACAAAATGTGATATATACATACAATGGAGTATTATTCAGCCTTAAAAAGGAAGGAAATTCTGACACCTACCACTACATGGATGAACCTTGTGGACATTATGCTGAGTGAAGCAAGCCAGACACAAATGGACAAATACTGTGCAATTTCATTTATACAAGGTACCCACAGGTACAAATTCAGAGACAAAAAGTAGAGTGGTGGGGAGAGGGAAGAACGGGGAGCTACTGTTTAAGGCGGACAGTGTCAGTTTGAGAAAATGAAAATAGTTCTGGAGATGATGGTGGGGATGGACGTACAACGTCAATGTATGTAAGGCCGGTGAACTGATGGGCACTTAAAAATGGCTAAAGTGGGAAATTTTGTTATATCTTACATTAAAAATAAAACAAATTTAAAAAAGATACAGAAGACTGAATAACATAGTTTTATATTTGTTATAAAAAAACTCTCACTATACATATTTATATATATAATGTATTTATTTATATATAAATATGTATAGTGAATAAAAGCTAGTATTTATTTGGTACTGGTTACACACCAAATCTATGTCAAGCACTTGATTCATTCTCACAATCCTGAGTTAGGACTGTCATCAATCCCATATTCCAGATGAGAAAACAAAGAGAAGTCAAGTTCCTCCTGAGTTGTAAGCAGTCACACAGGGATTCTAAGCCAGCTGGTCTGGCTCCAGAGTTCATGCTCCTAACCAATGTGCATGAATGCCTTGCAGAAATGAAATACTGATACAACTTCTTGAGAGAAAGATCACTAAATAGTCAAGTGTAGGTTTGTTAACTGTATCTTTAATCTTCAGATTCTGGTATGCCAGAATCCTGGAGTTGTAAGAGTATGACATGACAATCCGATATGATAGCTGGCCTACCATGGAAGTGTTTATGGCCCCATCCACAGTTAAAGTGGGATTCTCCAATTTGCAATTTTAAGTTTAAAAAACATTTGTGTGTATGCTGTGATGACATAATATTAGTTTCTGTCTTAGGGGAATCATTTCTCCAGCTGTAAATGATTGCAACTTCTCATTTTGTTTCTATTGTCCTAACATGTAGTTTCATATTGTAACCCAGATCAAATCCTTTTGTGGGTAATAGAAAACAATATATTGCTATCCATTTCCATGCTACTGCTACATTTACTCCAGTACCCTATATTGCCACTGTTATTGTTATAACTCAGCCACTTATTTAAAACCCTGATTTCCAATTTGCTCCACTTGTATCTCTCACTGACCTAAGTGCCCTAACAGCTTCTGGACATAAAATTGCTTTAATTAGCTATCATGCACTGGTGCCTTCTTGCACACCCTGTCTCTAACCTAGCAAGGTCTACTTGTTTTTCCAACAGGAAGTACCTGTGGTCACCTTTGCCTTCTTAAAAAGAAAAAAGCAACTTCCCCTAACCTGCTATCCACTTTTTGTCCTAGAAAACCTAAACCTGGCTTTTTTTTCTGCCTCTTTTCAAATTACTGCACCCCCATCCCTACCACAATCAGCAAAACGGAAGCTGTAGAAACACTCCAGATTAAGATAGCATGTTAACTACCGCACCAACCACAAACTAGCATGAAAGCTACTTTTCCTAAATTTCTGCAAGTCAAATTGTTAACGGTACCAGAATATCTCAGTTCCCTAATCTTTTTTCAAGGGACTTTTGTCTTTTTTGCCTAAGAGAAGAATTCTTTGCTGTCATCTAGATTTGAGCAATTTTCAGTCTAAGTCCCATTTAACTGTAAATTACGTTGCAAGTACACTTATTATTAATACTAGTTAAAGCATCAAATTTTGTTAATGATTCTCTCTCTCAAAAAGAAGTATAAAGCTGTCCCAAATATAAAGCCATTCTCCCCTGTGTTTCTATGTTTGTTTGTTTTAAAACAGGATAATCGCTTGCACAGGTTCATGGGTGTCTGGGTTAGTTATGTGTATCTGGGTATAAAAAGAAAAGGGTGAGAACTGCCCCAGGACATAAGTCACAGACTTATTAGGGAGTCTGACACAGTACTAATCCTCCCTAATAACTTTCTTCTAAACATACAAAAGCTGTTCAACTGTTTCAGTAGTTTGCCCATTTGAAACACCTAGCCTCATTTGTTATTAGTATATTTAAGAGGCTGCTTCAAATCGATAAAAATAAGTACTTAGGCAAACATGTTTCTGTGTTAAAATCTTCAAATCTAATGTATATGTTTTCAAAGTGTTTTATCACATTATACTTTGGGGAAAATAATACAGGCATGTTAGAGAAACACTAACTCAACAGTTAAATTATAAATTTTACCTATCTACAAGAATTTGATTGGTTTTCTTCCAATCTTCAACTTCAGAAATTTCTTTTGCCTCCAGTTTCTGTTTCAAACTATTTATTTCTGATTCATAATAAGCTCGAAGATCTGCTATGTGCCGAGCATGCTTTTCCTTCAGGTTCTGCCTAATCCTGTTGGTGAGAGCAAAAAAGATTATTAGGAAAGCATCTCCTCTCTCTCTATCCCATAAAAGAAAACAAGAACACAATCATTTTCATAGGCAAAAATACAGCCTTTTTCCTTTACACATTCACAGAAAATACATAAATAAACAAGTTCACAACCAATAAATTGAAAACAAAAAAGATATGGATTATTTAATTTTAGATGCTCTACCTTAAAAATGCTATATCTTTTTTAAATTTAAGATTCCATACAGCAGTCAAGTTCAATAAAAATCATTTTCATCATTCAAGCAGACATCACAGAAAATCTATTAACATTATGAGCCCTTTACTGAAATACATACTTAGACAATATCACAGGATCTTCCAGGGAAGTCAATGAAATGCATTCTGGGACACTGTTGGCTGTACCTGGAAGCTGGGATTGACTGACCAAGGCTGAAGGTACCATGACAGTGTTTTCTTCATTTACAGTATTGACCGAGATGTCATTACTAGTAATAGCAAACACTGAAGGAAACACGGAACTGGTCCTACTTTCGTTTTGGAAAGAATGATTTTTCCAAGAATCCATTGGTGAAGCTTTTGTATTTGAAGGATATTTTGGGAATCCAGATAACTGAGAAGCGATATTACTTGCTTGTGAAAATGAGTCTATGTCAGAATGACTAGACATACTAGGTTCTAGAACACAGTCTGGAGAAAAGGATATTCTGTCATCAAGGGCATTCAAAAAGCCATGTGGTCGAATCCCTGAAATCTTCTGACTTGACTTCACTTGTAACATTGGATCTAGAGTCAGGACCTAGAAATGAGACAAACAACAGTAAGGTTTCCCCCTCAGTACAGTGTTTGTTTTTAAGTGAGGCTTTAGATCTCCTAGGGAAAACAAAGATTAAGGTTGGAGTCAGGAAGCATCTTTCATTTTCACTGAGCAGAGGGCTGACATTACCTCCAGTGGATGATTTGGTTTGGAAGCAGAAGTGAGATTCCTCTCAGGTAACTGCTTGTTTTCCCTTTGTTTTTTATGATAAATATCCTTCAGTGATGGTAGTTTCATCTCATTACTAGTATTAGACTTAAAGATATGAAACAAAATTATTTAAATGGCATTATCAATGATGAAAAAAGTTTACTGATATCAAGATCAGCACCACAAAAGATTTCTGAAATATTTTAAATAAATTGAGACTAGACTGTCAGATTTACAAGTTTGAAGCTATTACCTGTTAATTATGAGTCTCCCTCAGAATGAAACATTTCCATACCCCATAACAATAAATATTAAAGGAAAAACTGAACCTAAGTTATTTAGCAACCTAAGAAGACTTCCAAAGAATAAAAATACTTGGCAGTCCTCCTACTCAGAATAAGGACTAAGTTTTGAGGTAAGAAAAGAGTTTATAATGAGTAAATGAAGCAGGATGGGAAAACTAGCCAGATTACTATCATGTGACTCAAGGGGACAGGTGTCAAGAGATTGAGTTCCTTATCTATGTAGTTAAATTCCTATATTTTTAAGAGTTAACAAACAAACAAAAATGTGTTAAGAAAGAAGTTACCCAGCAAAAACATGCCCCTTTTTTAATTAGTAATATAAGGAAACAAAACCGTAATTTCTACAGCTTGAAATCCATTTCCTGAAATCAGAGCCTTGCCATACTAGAAATGTTATGAAGAGGTCTAAGCTCCAAATATTAAAAACTTGGGCTCAAATTATTCAAGATGGTACCTATTGTAGGCTTGACAGAGGTGCCATTAAACCCTGAGCCTCAAATTTAAACTATGGACATTCTCTCAAACAAGATTTCAGATTTAACAAGAAATACACTGAAGGCATTGAAAGAACACATCACATACAGCTTTAAACTTCTAATTTCCAGACCTTACATAGGCTATAGAACACCAGGAGTTAATATTTTTTAACAAATCCTCTAACTAGAGTGTAAGACAACTTTACTTATACTGTGCACATTAAAGGAATTAATTTTTAAATGTAAACCCTTAAAATTTACCACAATTTCCATAATCCTGTTTTGGAATTTTACTTTTTATATACCAACAACCTAAAGACTCCTTTCAAGCCCTGAAGCCTATGACAAGTAGAACACTCTGCATATAGCCTCAGCCTGAGGGAGCCCTGCCTGGTGGTCTGGGTGAACAGTTGGGAGTTACTCTATTAAGGGCTTAAGTTACTACCATGAATCATTTTCACCACTTTTATGATATCCTTTCACATTTAACATCTCTGAAGTGAGGACCTCCTGTCACTAATGGCATCTAACAACTGCTTTGGGCTAAGTTGCCTGCTTAGAAGTACCAAAGCCATCAAAATTGGCCAAACAGGAGACAGCAGCTTGGAATAAAATCCGAGAGACTACACTGGAGCCCATGAAAACCAATATTTAAGGGACAGTGAATCAGACATGTTTAGCAATATTCCCCATCTGGGAGTCAAAAGTAGGCAGTTCTACATAACAGCTAAGCTGGTAAAAACTCAGCATCAAAGCCCTTATCTTTTTTAAAGAAATGCCAAATGAGAAATGCTCTGGTGGCCCAAGGGAAATTGTACGTGGAAAAACACAGAAACCAACACTGAGTTGAAAAAAGAGCAGTGTAAGCCTCTGTAGGGGAAGTTTTATTTAAAGTTTATTTCACTTAGATTCTCCTTTTTAGATATGTGTAGGTTATAAGATAAAAATCTATGTTTAATTAAGTCTATAAGCTCTTTTTCTATAGGTACAAAATATAAATTTGAAGTGGTAAGAAAGCAGTTTATTAGTCTAGTTGGTATATTTTTTTCTTGGTAGAATATGAAACAGGAAGTCTTAAAAAAAAATTTGATGGCCTCTTAAGAGTCAACAAAATCTAGTATTAATTTATTGATACTGCAAATCAAGTAACACATAGAGATCCCTGTAACTGCAAAGCCTACTGATCCTTTCAGCCCCCTCACCATCTCACTGTCCCCATCCTTTGTTCTTCATTGTATTTATCTGTTTCTCTTTTTTGCTCCTTTCCTGAAGGATTGAACGCTGGTTTCTGTGCCACTCTGAGACTCTGATGCCTACAAGCACTCACTTAGCCTCCAGCTGCCCCATCTGCCTGCCTGGCTCTTTAATTCTCCTGGTTACTTTAATTTTCTCTCCTTTTCCCAACCTACTCTCTGAGCACCTGATCAAAACACAGAGGTAAGATGTGTACCTGATGTTCACATAGTGGAAAGTTTTATTTTGTTGCTCAGAAGTAAAAGAAATTTATAATCTTCAAAGAAAATTAATACAGCAAATTAAATTGCTGTGATTTATGGCACAAATGGATTAGTAAGAGGCTGTAATAGGAAGGAAACTCAAACCAGGTTTGAGGACAGAGGAAGAAGTTTATCTGAAGACCTACTATATTTACAATAGCACTTAACTTCACAAAACACTAACTGGACATTTTTAATTCCTTTTAAAGAATGTTTCCTAATATCACATAGGCAATGAATGAGAGAGATCAAATTTGAAAGCAAGTGACTATGATTTAAAGCCTATGCTTTTCAGAAAATTGAATACGAAATTTATAATGAAATGGAGTACTTAACTGCAACTGTATAATGCAAATACACACAGAAACACATACACACGCACACACACATTATCTTTAAATTACCTGATGTGGTGACATATCTGTTGAAGACGATGGTGGAAATGTCTTCTCTGAAGTCTCAGGCAAAAAGTGATACATGTCCTTCTCCTCCAGTTTCCAGTCAGTCAGTCCTAAAGTGCACAAATACACAGAAAAGAGTGAGGAAAGAGAAAATTGCTTTCTAGGACAACTTACTTCTACCTAAAGAAAATTAAATATGGGAAGTAACTAGTTTTTGGCTATCTGAATACAGGAAGCTGAATTTTGATGGGAAAAGAGTTACACAAATGCCTTACTATGTAAAGAATTCCAACTTAGTTATTAAAAGTTAAGACAAACTACTACAATTTAAAATATATTTTTATATTTTTATTTCATAAATAAAAAATATTAATTTTTAAAAGAACAGTACAGACTTATATGGATGTAAAGCAATGTAAAGAATTCACTGATTCAAATATTTATTTAGCATTATTATTTTGTGAGGCTTGGGGGGCAGGAAGAGTGAGACATGAACAGTAAGTAAATCATGTAATATATCCAGTATGTTAGAAGGTGGTAAGAGTCTAAGGGTAAAACTTAAAAATCAGTTAAAAGGGAGTATGTTGTATGTATAGAGAGGTGGTCAAGGTTGGCTATTTGTAAGGTAACAAAAAGTTAGCCATTTTACCCATATATGAGGGAGGAAGAACATTCCAAAGACAGGAAGCAACCAAGGCAAAAGCCCTAAAATGAGAATACATCTGGCACACTTGAGAAACAGCCTCCCTGCTGAAGCAGAGAAAGGGACAGAGTAGCAGAAAGTGAGGTTAAAGAGAACAAGGCTAGATCTTCTTGGGCCTGTGGGACTCTGGCGGTTCCTCTGACGGAAAGGCAATGAGGGCAGGAGTTTGAGCAAAGGAGTCACAGATCTGACTTCTGTTTAAGAAGGATCATGTTGGCTACTGTGCTGAGAACAGATGGAAGGTGCAAGGGTGAAAGCAGGGAGACTGGTTAGAAAGTTGCAGAAACACAGGTGATGGGGGCTCTTTTGGCATGAAAGCCCAAAAGTGGGATTCTGGCAATTTTCCTAAGGCAAAGCTAATTCAGGCTGATGAACTGATTGCGGAATTGTGGGGAAAATGGAGTCACTACGTAAAGCCATTAAAACTATAGTAAGTTTACCATGGAGAGCAAAGAATGGCTCATAGAGGGTTTAATTTAACTCATTTTGGAGCACCTGAAAAATGCTAATTTTTGCAGCTGTTTGAACTAAGTGCAAAAGTACTTCTTCCATAGTCTGTCTTTACAGAACTCATTACAGCTATTGGAAGCACAACGCATAGCACATTCACAGAAACCACTCTAATACATTCTACACGATTATCATCTTATTAGAAACGCAGACAAGTTATTCTTTTTTTAAAGTGTCATACCTGTTCCCGAATCAGACATCCAAGAATTTGGACCCTCATCTGGTTTACTGATGTAAAAAGCACGAGGATGTGTGGCAGCAGTGAAATCAGACTACAAAAAAAGAAAACTTGGTTGACAGCTAAAAATCATTAGGCACAAACTGCTGGCCCAAGGAATGAGAGCCAGGTGCCAATGCCAGACAGAGAAACCCTCAGAGGTTCATAAGAAGTAAAAAAGCCTGGTTTTCACCATGGTTACAAGAATGCAAAAATCATAGGAATTAACAGTGAAGGATTTTCTTTTCCTATGTAATTACTAAAGTTTATTTTGGTTCTCTGTGGAGCTGGAAGGAGAAAACTGGGAGCAGGTGTTATTTAGTGAGTTCAGAATGAAAATGTATTTATAATTTGCCATCTACTTCCTAAAGAAGTTTGAGGTGCCTAGAATTAAAGTCACTTAATATCAAATTAATGAAAAGGCCACAGCAATTCATTTTTATCATTAGAACAATAAATCAACTCTGAAAATTGCCAATAATCAATAGGAACTTTAGTATACTGTCTCACAAACAATTGGTTACTAGTACCCCAAAAAAGGCTCAAAATGCTTATAAATTCTAGTAAAAATTCTGAGCTAATCTCTCATCACAGTATCTCTGGCACTGTCACAAGAAATCTATGTGTCCAAAGAGAGATATGTAAAAAAAAACTTTTTATCTGAATTTTCTTATCAGTTACACAATTGTCTTGCCAATGGGTTTCAGCCCCAGACAAGTTCACTATGGATTCAATGTGACCAAAGAAATGACAGTAGGACGTTCTTGGGGTGAAAGGGCTATACCCAACTCTATTTCAACCAGTGGCAGATCACTAAAATCTCATCCACTCAGAGCGAGTCTGTATGCCCACACAGCCATCCCAGTCTCTGTCCTCAGCGCTGCCACCACTCCAGCCTCTGCTCTGCTACAACCCTGCAGCCGTGCCACCATGTCACCCAGAGCACTGGGCAGAGCTCTTTATATAGGGTCAATAGCAACGTATTGCCCACACATGTGTAGTGAGCTAGCCAACCAAGGCCAGGTGAGAATCCTGGCCACAGGAACTTTCATTTTATCGACAACCATTATCAAACTTTTCAATTCCTTAAGTTGTATTTGCTTACAACCATCTGTGGACCCACTGCTGAAGTCCAAGTACACTGAGATGACAACCCTCCACCCATCAAGGAGGTGGTAACCACCTCAGCCTTCTGAGGCACTGTTTAGGCTCTCTTTCATCGAATGAGAAAGCCCTAGGTCATCTTTTGTCTCTTGTAAAACTCCTACCCATTCGAGTTTCTGTCAAGTCTCAGTACTGAAAGACCAGGAAAAGTTGATTGTAGAAGACTAATTGAGAAGTCCCAAGTGAAACACTTTGTCCTTTTCCCAGTCTCAAGGTGCAAACCTTAACGCACTCAGCCAGCACAAAACAGCAGGCTACAGGGGCTTACCTTATATGGCTGTTGCTGCAGTCTTCTGAACAAACAAGGCATCAGCTATAGAAAGCAGGTCTAGCTTTTAATGAGAAATGAAGGTATGGTGCAATGAAAAGCCCCTCCCCAGGAGCTGGATTAAGCCTAACGCAAGGACCTAATGATAGCGTCAGTACCAGTTTACCAGCCCGTCTGGAAACCACCAGAGTCCTGCAGCCTGGGAATGGTAACGTCAAGTCTGTCCCAGACAAAGGACCAAGGAAACAAAGACTCACTTGAGCTCTGAGAAACCCTTATGCTAAACAATATCCAATTTCAAGATGTGCTTCAAAAACAGCTAATACCCAAAATAAACTACCACTGAATAAAAGGAAAATTGGATCCCAAGAGAATTCTGATCAGAAGGATTCCCTGATTGATGATAAAGTGAAGGTTCCTGTGGCCAGGATTCTCACCGGGCCCTGGTTGGCTAGCTCACTACACACGTGTGGGCAATGCGTCATTACTGACTCTATATAAAGAGCCCTGCCCAGTGTGCTGGGTGACACAGTGGCACAACTGTAAGGCTGTAGCAGAGCAGAGGCTGGATTAGTGGCGGCACTGAGGAGAGAGACTGTGCAGAGAGGCCCAGAGGCGGAGACTGGCTTGCTGTATGCAGACTCGCTCTGAGTTATTGACCTGCCACTGTGGAAATAAAGTTAAGTATAACCTTTTCACCCCAAAAACGTTCTACCATTTCTTTGGTCACACTGAATCCATAGTGAACTTGCCCAGGGCTGAAACCCACCTGATCTAGACTGAAAATGGAAAAAACAATAGAAGAGAAAGGATAAAGAGTTCCAACTTTGTGAATCCACAGAATTTGCAGGTAAGAAACGTATTTCAGGTGTGGTGTCTTTGATTCACCAATCACCATTACCTGAAAATCATTTACTACTCAGAAATACCAAAGAAACTTGATTTCCCTTAATAATTGAATATCAAAAATATCATTCACCTTAAAAAAAAAAAAGCTTATCCAGGAGATGGTTAAAGAAGAGGAAAAACTCAAAGACAATCAGCCCTCATCATAGCCTCCATTCTCTGTCTTGCCAACTCACCCAGGCAGAGCATGCTGCTAGAGACCTCCTCCATGGGCATTTCTCAGGTGCTGCACCTGGTCTGATTCGCCACTGAACTCAAGAAGAAAATTAGGCTAGGCCAGGGGCTCCCAAGCTCTGCAGCACAAAGAGCCCCCTAAGGAGCTTTTACACCTCTAGACACACAGGTCACACCACACCCTAATGAAGGCAGACCATGTGGGCTTGGCAGCCAGGCATGAGCAGATTTTTTAAGCTCCTCAGGTGACTCTAACATGCTGCAAATTTGGGGATTCACTGTGTTACATCAAACATTGATCTATAGCCACAAAAAGGCAACAAGAAAATCAGAGAACCCACTGTTACATACCACAAGTCCAAAGTTTATCAGAGGTGGAAGTCTCCCCAAGACTGAGTAGTAGTTAATAAAAACAGAAGAAACTAGTGTATATGAAAACATTCTCCCTTTATGCCAGCCTATTTTGATGAAAAAACCAACTTTCACCCCAGCCTCCAAATGCTTTATACATCACGTGAAATGAGGATAGACCATCCTTGACAGCAACAGGTTCAAAAGAACAGAACTGCCAAAGCAGTGCCATAGGGCCTTGCTTCACTTCCCTCCTCAACAGTTAAGTTTAAATAACGGTGAAATTAAGAAGCCTAAGTATCATGGGCTGAAGAAAGTTACTAAAAGAAAGGAGAAATAAACAGTGCTAACATGAAGGCTACGGGACTGTCGTCTTATGACTTGCATTCTTTATAATCTTTTTCATAGCATCATGGAAAGACTATTATAGAGAAAATGGAAGTTCCTATGGCCAGGATCCTCACCTGACCCTAAACTACTTGATGATGTAATTGGCTTATTGCTACACTAATGCTTCCATACTGTAGGCAACAAGCTATTATTGACTGAGTCACTATATAAAGAGCTCCACCCAGTGCTCTGGGCAAAGGCAGAGATGGAGGTGGATTATGGACCTGCATGCAGACTGCTGGTTACAGACAAGATTCTAGTGCTCAACCTACCTTGGTGAGAATAAAGCTGGGCATAAACCCTTTTACACCAAGAACATTCCACTGTCATTTCTCGGTTTCACTGAATCCACAGTGAACTTCCTGTGCATGAAACCCTCAGGCAAGGCAACTATGTTGAGACTGATCAAGACACGGCTAATTTCTAAAGGTATCAAGTTTGTAGAAAGACCTGATTTTGCAATTTCAATGTATTTTATTAAACAATGCTACTCTATAACAATTTAGGCCAAAACATTTAAAACATACTGAGTATCTGTAACTTCTTAACCAGAGCAGCTATTAGATTAGCAAAAGGACCACACAGAATTTTAACATTTAATTTCTTACAATTTGGATTACAAATTCAGAGTTATCCAAACTTCAAAATTTTTTTATAAGGACACCTTAAAGCATTCACACATACAGTACTACTTCTTACAACCTAATAGTAATATACATTATTCAAGAGCTTAAAAAAACAATTAAAGGGATTACTCTCTGGCTAAATGGGAACATTTGCAGTGCAAAGAGAGTTATGACCTTTACAAATGATTCATTTTTTATACTACTTTATCCCTTTTCATTTTGATTTCCAGCCAACTGAAGAGCCAATACTTAGAGCAAATCATTGTTTCCAATCCTTTGAGACACCAATAGATATGTCAATGGAACAAATCAGCAACACAAAGAGCAAAAAATTTATGTTCATGAGCATGCAGCAAACCCAACATAACTATCAGTAACGGAAACTACCAGAGCAAAGTGACTGTCACCTACTTTCTCAATTGGTGATTTCTTGGTTTGCTCATTTCCCTGCATAGATTTTGAACACCCCTCTTCTGCATGTGCTCTCTTTGGTTGGTTCTGCTTCAGCTTTTGTGCCCATGTTATAGATTTACTATTTAAAAAGAGAAAATAAAAATTACTCTCTTTAGATGCTGTTCTTAACACACAAAACTAATTACTAGCAGTAGAAAATATGTCAGTGAAAAATGCTTTGAGCTGTTTTTCCCATAGCAGAGAAAGAATGAATTTGTACTGATTCAACCAAACTCCTTTTTATAATATCTTTTTACCAAAGGCAAAATGAACGAAAAGACAATGTATATGGTCGGTAGCCATGGATTAAGACCAAACCCACCACAGTATCCCTTCAATTACTAAATATCTACAGTAAAAGCATATTTATTTATATGGAGTAATAATTATGGGTATGTAAGATTTGTGTTGCTATTGCTAAATACCTTACTTCATATGACACACTTCAGAAATATAAAACTGAGTATTTAGGGTAAACTAATAATTTTAAATATTTGCTTTACAAACATTCATCTATCACTCCCTTTACTAAAAGGTCTCCTGGGTCAATCAAAATATCATTAAAGTTAGAAAATCTCTTATAAAAACATAAAATTACATAGGCTTGTGTATAACTTTTGGTTTCAAATTATATGAACCTGTGTAACAAAATAGGACATGCTAAAACAGTTCTGCACTCTAGTTTTTAGCAAATTTACTGTGACTAGAAAATATAAAAGGTATTATTTCTTGGCAAGTCCTCCCAGCTTAGGAGTCTAGTAGTCTTCTAACAATGTGAATGGGAAGAATATCAGATGTCATTAGTACAGAGTACGCTGTTTATTCAATTTTCCATAGGCAATAAATACAAGAATAATAAAATGTTCAAATACATCTCATTCTATACGGTCCAACTTAAAAGGAGCTTTATTTACTAGAATTTAAATGTAATAAACAAGAAAAACTTCCATTCAGATGATGGAGAAATTCTACTTACTTATTTGTTTTTCCACTGTATACTTCTGAAATCTTTTCACCAAGAAAACTGTGTTCAAATTCACCAGGAAAAGTGGAAATATCTTCCTTTAAAGATGCACACAACTCCTCCGTAGTATGTATATAAAAATTCTTATTTTCTATACCATCTGCAAGTGATTCCATCTGCACCACAGGTGCTCCATACTGGCCTGTAGAAACCTCTGCATGCTCCATGGACTCTCGAGGGTCCTGGGATTTGTAGGTATTTAATTCTGAGACACACAAAGTCCCGTACCCACTGCTCACTGAGCTACTATCCACATGGCAGTCTGGTTGTGATGAGGATGTTTCTTGCTGCATTTCAGGTTCTTTAGAGTTAGGGTAACTAATAATAGATTCATTTCTTTCACTGTTTTCAGAAAAAAAACCCATTTGACTTTCTGAGTATACTTTTTTGCTTGAAGGAGTTCTATCGTAGGAAGCCCAGGAAGCACTACTTGTTTGTAACTTGACTAGATTTTTTATCTCCTGTACACGCTGAAAATAAAAAGTTATAGATTTTGATAAGAAGGCATATTAAACATAACATCTTTAGAAATGTTATGAAAATATTGTGTTTAAAAATACAAGACACTAAAGAGAATATACATATTTTATCCTTAGTTTATAAACAAAACCTGATAAAAAGTATTTATCGGTTCTTCTACAAATCTGACAATATAAAAAAAGAATCACTCTAAATAACAACTTACTTGAATTTGGTTGTGGAACTGTTCCTGCTGGGCAACAATCTGTTCTTGGCATTGTTTTTCCACCAAACTGAATAGCTGTAACCACCTGGTCTATTAAATTATAAAATATTTTAGTTAAAAATAATTTTTCACCTTAATATTTCACAGAAAAATTCCTCCAGTGAGAAATGCCTTTTTAAAAATGTATTTTTAATGTAAAGTTTATAAGCTGAATTGTTTAAAAATATCTCATGCAAAAATACACAACACACGCTTAGGCACCCTTTTCTCATATAACCCATGGTTTAGGTAAATTTGAAGGTCTAGGTAAATTTTCTTCAAATGGCAACATTTTTTTATGTCATCTGCTATCATTTCTGATTAATCAAGAACAAGTAGCTGCACTTTGTATTTGTCTTAAGTTCTTCTTCCTTGTCTCATAACAACTAATGATTTTATTGAACACCGACTTGTATTTAGAAAAAGAATCCTACATCTTAAAAACAACAGTCTGGTATTATGGGAACTTACCCCTTAATTTATTTGTTCTTGAAGTTAAAAAAATCTTTTTAAAGTCAGATATTAAAAGTGTTTTACAAGTATCATAATTCCTCCAAGTGGTAAAGATACCTCAAGACAAATGCTGGGCATAGAAGCCACAGGGCATAAATCTGCAAAGAAGTAAAAAGCTAACCTTTTCAAACAATATGGCTTCTCTCTCACCAATTTTACATCTCCCTGTATGGCCCCGGAAGATGACTGGTTAGCCAGAGACGGGTAAGAGTCCTCAAGGGAGGAACAACCTAAGACAGGCACAGTCGCAGGGGGGCCATCAGGTGAGAAATTGGGGATCAACAGTGATGAAGCTTAGAACCTCACCCCCCATTTTGAGAGAAATCTTCTGCATCCGTGAATGTTTTAATGCCCTTGTCTAGCTTGGATTAACACATAGTCTACAGGCACACACCTGATCATCTACAATTGCTCTCTTACAACACTAAACTATGTTTTCTACCTTTATCTTGCATCTACCTACCACTTCAGCATTTTATTAAAAATAAAAATAATAATAATAATAAAGGGAGAAATGTGGGATCCACATATAAATCAAGTATAAAAATCAAACGAATATTCATATTTGACCTGATTGTTTATAGTTCATAATGCGTGATCAAAACTGAAAGTTTCTGTGATGACTGCCCTTGTACTGTTCACCATGTAAGAACTTATTCACTATGTAAGAATTTGTTCACCATGTAAGAACTTGTTCGTTATGCTTCAGAAGATTGGAGACTGACGAGAATTAGGCTTGAGATGGATTAATGATTGTGCATTGAGTGTTGACTCCCCTATACAGAATTTTATTGTTGTTAACAACCATTTGATCAATAAATATGAGAGATGCCCTCTCAAAAAAAAAAAAAGTGTTTTACAGCAGCACAGCTGAAAAAGGAATAAAAAATTACTGAAAACTCATGGAACTGGTTGATGGCTCCCTTCACAGCCACTTTTAGGTCCTGATCCATGTGGATTCCCAAGAGTAGTTAGTACTGTTAGAACTAGACTAAGGCAACAGATGGTCTGAAAGGGGACATGGAAATCTCCAGAGGCTAAATTCAGTCTCAAGGCTGTATAGTACCAGACTAAGTGCAATATATATATATACAATTCAGTAATAGACAATACGCAATAATGTATGTTAATAAGCAGCTGCCATGAAAAATAGCTTCCCTGCTTAAAACCTATCCGAGTCTTTCCGCTCCTATCGCTCCTTACAAGGCCCTGCATGGTCTGGCTCATACCCATCTCCCAACTTCATCTCATCCCTCTCCTCCTTGTCCATACACATCAGCCCCTCTGGCCTCTTCCTGTTCCCTGAACCCGCCAAGACTATATTCCACCTCAATGCTGTCCTTGCTGTACCCTTTATCCAGAAAGCTCTCTCCTCCAGCTCTTAACATGGCTGGCTTCTTCCCATCCTGCAATTTCAGCTTAATTGTAACCTTCTCGAAGATAGTCTCCCAAACCATCCTAAGTTGCTCTTTCTTGTCATCCTGTTTATTTCCTTTATAGCATTCACCACAATCAGAAAGTATCTCATTTGTTCACTTTGTTAACTTGTCTGTCCCCATCTCTGCCCCCGACCCTACCTCCTGCACCTAGGACACCATCCCAAGGAAAGAGTGGGAGCTCAGAAATACAGTCTAAAAACGTATATTTCAAGCGGAATTTTTCTTGGTATTACAGACTACACGATCCAGAGATCCTTCAAGTTAATGCTGAAAGCCAGTTGTATGACCACAAAATAACAGAAATGAGTTGAAACCTGTATACCAATATTAAAGCAAAGGGAGAAAAAACTTCCAGATTAGAAAAGAAAAGCTTCAAAATGCAGTATGACAGTAATGACAAGAATTATTAATTCTAAACCAACTAACTTCACTATAAGGTAAGCTAGATCAAATCAAATTCCTTATCTTCTCAACTTACTTGTAAATTATCTTAATCAAAACAAAAATAATCAGGCATCTGTTTTCTTATTAAATCATACTAACTTAAGCAACACTTGAGGTTTATTTTTAAACTGATAAAGTTGATATTCATATAAAACTAAATTATAAAAATGATAAGAGTAACAATTTACAGAACAAAAAAGGCTTAGTATTATGCCAGATACTTGATATTAACCATCCTTATGACCTTATTTAGGATACAAATTAATAGAGCTTACTCAGGATATGAATTAGTGAAGAAGATTTTGTTCTTCCTAATCAGTTTCACAATTAATATTTTAATTCTTAAAAACTTATTTAAGAACATTATAAATACAGAGAATAACATTATTTACTTAATTATAAGAAGGGCTATTATTAGTCATTTCAAACTAAAAGGATTTACATTGCCTGCATTTTACATATTGTTGGAGGATATATGCATTTAATTAAAGTTGTGATGCATGGAATTTTTTTATCTTATTAGCCTGAATGGGATTTCTATAGTCTAGCCTGGTGAATACCCCATCAGCTTTGCCATCCTTTGTCTGACTCCAGCTCTCTCACAACCTGCTTGGTTCTAAACAAGTAAATTTTTCTTTGTGCCTCAGTTTCCTAATTTATAAAATGGAAATAGCACCACCTCATAGATGGCTGGGAGGATTAAAATTTTAATGTAAATATGATGCATGTAAAGCAGTGATCTCCATGGGAGAAATGTATTCTGAATATCTGCAAGGCTGTGCTTGTCACAGATAGAGCAAGGGTTACCACAAGCATATTTAGTAGGCAGGGTCCAGGGATGCAAATCATAAGATGGTCCTCCACAATGAAGAACTGTCCTGTGTCCACTTTAGGTTACAAAAAAAACATATATTTTCCACAGGTTTCAAATCACCAAACTGCCTACAAATATAACTACTAAGATGTTAAGTTTGTTACAGAACTTGATCAGAAATTGATTACTGTCTCAGAAAATCATGTCACCACAGTGCTGGTCTGTGTCTGCAGCAGCTGCATTCACCATGAGTCTACTATAAATAAACACCAGACCGCTTCAGTATGTCTTTCAGTGCAGATGTGTCTGACCACTTTCGTATTGAAATACATATTATGTATTATAACTTGAATTCCTCTCCTCCTTTATATCACCGTTAGGACATTATATTGATTTTTTTTAAGTGGGTACAAGCAGGTTATAACATCATGAATTTCATTTCAAGGCAATATAAGTTGATGTTTTAAAAACTGTTACAAAATAATGGTTTGGGTTCTAATAAGATTGAGTGCCACTGAGAAAAAGTGTCTAGTATACTGCCTGGAAAATAAACACTCAATAAACTGTAGATGTAATAATTATTATCATCATCATATAAATATTACTATTATACATATAAAATCAGTAGTGTTAAATAGTTAAAATGCTAAAAGAACTAAGACAATTTAATGATGTGCTTTAAAAATTTACCACGACAGAAATATTAGCAAGTATTTAAGAATGTATTGTAGTATTTCTACATAAATGTGTTAAAAAATTATTTTCCACGGAACCAAAATACATAACCTTCTCAAGTTTAAGTAGTGAAAAACTTAAGAATTTCAGGAGAGATATTTTATGAAGGAATTCTAAAAAAACAGATCACTGCCAGAGCGCTGAGCTCTGTGGAAGGTTTTGTGTTTGTTTTAGCAGTGTAGGTTAGTCCCTTACAAGTACTAGAAATCAGACAAATGTTATTATTCCAAAAGTAAAGTGAAAACATGGAATTGAAGAAAAAGACTTGCTCAATCCTTACCATTCCCATTCTTTCTAAATGCTATACTAGAACATCAGAGAATTTTGGTTTTGTATCCTACAGAAACATGCTGAATAAATTTGAGAAATTTTACTTAAATCACCAGGATTTCATATTCTGTCAAAGTAAAAAATATCTTAAGAAACTCTTCACGAAATAATCAATTACATGTCTACATTACAAAAATTAAGTGGTCAATCATTACTAAACAATAAAAATAATAATCTGTTACATCACAGGTGAAGGAGAAAGAATAGGAAGAAACTGGTTCAAATGTTAAGGTGTAAGTAGCTGGGTTGGTATGCTGGCTTATTAGAATCTGTATCTTAAATTTCACAAATATATTCTGATTCTGATTTAAGATGTTGGTTTCAAAGCATAAAAGTAACAGTTTCTTTAGTTAGACATAAATTTGCCTGAAAGGCGATGTCTTATTTTTTTTTAAGCATGTTAATTCTAGTATTATAAGCTAATGAGTAAGTATAGTACTGGGAACAGTTCATAAAACATCCCACTTTTAATTGCATCATTTTACAATGGCATTTTATAGGTCTTTTGTATTAGCACATACTGATTGCTCTACAGAAAAAACATAAAAAGTATAAAAACTTAAAACTGTGTTTTCAAAAAATTTGAATAGTCATTTATATCACTTCAATGATTATGGATAATAACTTAGAGTAACACAGTTAGATGTGGCTGCTACTAGATTCTTAAACCAAGCACTCTTTTATTCCATTTATTATACATTCTGAAAAATAACTCATATTATGATCTTAAAAGTATAGTTAATACTTAAAATCTACTGTTCTCTAAATAAAGAATA